GCTCTATGAGTCTTATGGTAAGTTTTTAAGTTTATAGTAGCAAGCATGCCTTTTCAGTTATGAGACTGAAGACTGGACTCTGCCACAGATTTCCTGCATAATCTTGAATAAATTTTATTTTTATTTCAAAGCTGTGTCTATAAAATGCTCACCTACCTCACAGGTGTCAATGGTGGATTAATAAATATATGCATGATATTTAGTGATGGTAATTACTAACAGAGGAAACTTATTAATAAAAATGTTATATTCCAAATTAAAATTTAAGGCACTGTTTCTGTGTAGAAAACAGCCAACCGAACATGCTACACTGCCTCGTAAGAAGTGTTGTCACTGCATAACAGCTATAATTATAGAATTAATAGTTAATTAATAGAATTGCACTCAGATACTCCATTTTCATGCAAGATAGTAACTTAAATTTCACTGTCTAATTTAGAGTGATGTGTTTGGTATTGTCACTTGCACTGGAAATTATTGCTGAATGAATTTGTTAGAGAAGGAAGAAGGCAGCAAAATGCAATTGCTCTTGTAAGAATGGGAGTGGGAAGACTATGAGCAGGCAAGCTTCAAAGAGATTTTTTTCTTTTTTTAACCAAATTCAAAGAAACAGAATGTGTAGGTTCCTTGAATCTTCAGTCTGAAACGATAAGCCCTTTGCGAAAACACCTAAAATACTGGTCTATATATTCTATATTGTCATGGTGCTTTGGAGCCCTGTTTATGGACTATGTTTCCCTCACACTAGGCATGAGAACCAGAGGATGTTTCCAAATCTCTTCCTACTTAAGATTTTAATACGTAACAAGGGGAAAGCATTGTTTCTCATGGCTGCTGAAAATCTGACTGTGACAGCAGTGGTTACTATAATGAAAACAGATATTTGGTAGAGATTTATTTGCTCTTTTGCCTTGCATCATTCATAAATGAATGTCACCTGGGGGTGAAATTGCATGTTACGGCTAAGCTGATATAATGCCTTGCAGCTACAGAAAGGAGGAGGTCATGTGCTTCTCATCCCCAGCTATACAGCCTTGCTGGCTGTTATGCTCTTTGGAACTTTTAAATTGATTCAAAGCAGCATAAAAGTATTCACTTCCCCTGTTTGGCAGCACTGATTAGCTGTCACATTAGTTCAAACCGGAAAGTATAATGTCACCTTTAATTACTTACGATAATACGTTTTTGCCTTCCTTAAATACAGAATCTTGAGGCCATATGTGGAATTTGCCTGAAAATCCATGAGTCTAGACCTTATTCTAATATTCCATAAGCATTAGCATCTAATGTTTGTGTGATGTCATTCTTATACTATTCCTATTAGTATAAAATACATTTAGCAAAGAAATGTATATACATTAGATTTGCTAACAGTATTGAATTTTAGAGAGCAAAATTGCACGTTGCTCAGCTGTTGTAACCTCTAGCTTTCCTGGGCAAGTAAGTTATCAGTTACAAGTTTTGGCATTAACAGGAAGAGAACGCAGATAACTGCTAACTTGACTCTGAATTTCAGTTAGATCAGTTGAGGTGCAGGGATAACTGTAGGCTTGGGATATCTATTAAGAAGGTTGTAGGGACTTTTGGGATCTTGCAGTTTGGGCCTAAATGGCTGTTCCCAGTTAGCTGTCTGAAATGGACATGTTTGCCTCCCTGGAAGCAAGGGAGTTGAAGGAAAAAACAGTGATGAATATGAGTTGAAGATAACAGTTAAGGGAGAGTGTGGCAAGAAAAGAGAATTTTGCAAATAGTCTTTAGCTACAGTTCCTTTCCTCTTT